TACTACTACCCCTACTAGTGCGACTACTGCGACGACGGCTACTACTATTGCTACGTCTGCTGGAAACGCTGCTGTTACTTATACTGTAACTGCTACTGCTACTGTTACTGTTACTGCTACTACCACTGCTTCTACTACTACTGCCACTACTTAAACTACCACGACTGCTGCTACTACTACTACTACTACTACCACTACTACAACGCCTGCAGGTAAGACTACTATTACCACGACCACGACTGCTACGACTACTACCACTACTACAACTACTGCTAGTACTGCAACTACTGCTGCTACTACTGAAACTGCGAATGCTACTGCGACTGCGGCCACGATTGCTGCCACTGCTAGTACTACTACTATTACTACGGCTACTACAACTGCTGCTACTACAACTTCTTCTGCTTATTCGACTATTGCTGCCATTACGATTACTACTGCTGAAACTACACCTACTACGGTATACCTACGACTACGACTACCACTACAACTGCGATTGCTACGGCGATTCGTACTACTACTGCTGCTACTATTGGAACTGCGACTGTTACTTCTACTGCTGATGATGCTGCTGCTGCTGCTACTGCTACTGCTACTGCTACTGCTACTACTACTACTGGTACTACTACTACTCCTCCTACTACTACTACTACTACTACTACTACTGCTACTGCTACTACTACTACTACTACTACTACTACTAATACTACTACTACTAGTACCACTGCTACTGCCACGGCGATAGCTACTACTCCTATTCCTACTACTAATAATACTACGACTACGACTAAGGCTGCCACCACGGCAACGGCTGCTACTACTACGACTACTACTGCGACTACTACGGGTGCTACTACTACTGCTACTACTACCGAAACTGCAACTGCTACTGCTACTGCTAATGCCACTGCTACTGCTACTACTACTACTACTACTACTACTACTACTACCACTACTGCTACTACCCCTGCTACAACTACCACTGCTACTACTGCTGCTACTTCTTCTTCGACTTTTAGTACTGCCACTACTACCACTACTGATACTACTACTACTGATATTCATACTACTGAAACTAAGCTTACTATTCTACTGCTACAGCTAATACTACCACTATTACTGCGACTACTACGACGACTACTACTACTGCTACTACTACTGGAGCTGCGACTGTCACTTGTACTTCTACTGCTACTGCTACTGCTACTGTGACTGCTACTACTACTACTACTACTACTATTACTACTACTACTACTGCTACTACTACTACTGCTACTACTACTACTACTGCTGCTACTACTACTGCTAATGCCACTGCTACTACCACTGCAAATCGAATACCACTTGTACTACCCCGGCTATTACTAGGAAGGCTACGGCTGCTTCGGCGATTACGGCTACTACTACGACTGCTACGGCTACTGCTACTGCTACGACGACTGCTTCGACTACTACTACTACTACTACTACTGCTACTAATGCTACTACTACTTAAACTGCGACTGCCTCTGCTACTGCGACTGCTATTGCTACGGCCACTAGTACTAGTACTAGTACTACTACTACTACTACTACTACTACTACCACTACTACTACTACCACCACTACCACTACTACTACTTCTACTTTTACTACTGCTGCTACTACTACTTCGTCTATGTCTTTCTTCTACTACTGCTACCACTACTACTACTGCTACTACTACTACTGCGACTACTACGACCACTACCACGACTACTACGACAACTCGTATCACTACTGCTACTACCACTGCAACTGTGACTCCTACTTGTACTGTTGCTGCTACTGCTACTGCTGCTGCTACTTGTACTGCTGCTGCTACTGCTACCGATGCTAGTACATCTGCTACTTCCTTTTCCAACAACTACTATTACTACTTCTACTACTAATATTACTCTCAGTACTACTACTACTACTAGTTTTACTACTAGGACTACGCTTGCGACTACTACTATTACTACTACGACTACTACCACTACTACTACGACTACTACCACTACTACGGCTACTACGGCTTCTACTACTACTACTACTACTACTACTGCTACTCCTACTCCTACTGCTGCTGCTACTACTGCTACCACTAATGTAACTGCGACTGCTACTGCTGATGCTACTGCTACTGCTACTACTACAACTTCTACTGCTACTGCTTCTACTGGCACTACTACTACTTGTTTTACCGCTTCTACAACTGCTACTGCTACTGTTACTATCACTACTACTGGAACTAATCCTACTACTCTACTACTACGTCTACGACTACAACCACAAACATTACTACTACTACTACTAATACTACTACTACTACTACTACGGCTACTATCACTGTTACTACTATTGGAACTGCGGCTGCTTCTTCTATTGCCACTGCTACTGCTACTGCTACTACTGCTACTGATACTGCTATTGCTACTACGACTACTACGACTACTACTACCAGTACTACCACTACCACTACCACTACCACTACCACTACCACTACTACTACTACTACTACTACTACTACTACTACTACGACTACTACTACTACTACTACTACTACTACTACTACTACTACTACTACTACTACTACTACTACTACTACTACTACTACTACTACTAGTACTAGTACTAGTACTCGTACTAGTACTAGTACTAGTAATACTACTACTACTACTACTACTACTACTACTGCTACTGCTACTACTACTACTACTACTACTTCTACTATTACTACTGTTACTACTTCTACTACTACTAGCACTACTGCTTCTCTTTCTCCTTCTACGACTACTACTACTACCGCAGCTACTTCTACTACTACTGCTACTACTACTACTACTACTACTAGTACTGCTACTACTACTACTGCTACTACTACTACAAGTTCTCATACTACTACTACTACTACTACTACTACGACTACTACTACTACTTCTACTATGCCTACTACTACTACTACTACTACTGGTACTAGTAGTAGTAGTAGTAGTAGTAGTAGTAGTAGTAGTAGTAGTAGTCTTCGAAATACTTCTACTACTACTGAAACTGCGACTGCGACTGCTGCTGTTACTGCTACTGCTACTGACACTTTTACTGCTACTTTTACGATTACTACTACTACTACTACTACTACTCCTACTTCTGCTCCGACTCCTACTACTACCTACTACGACTACTACTACTACTACTACTACTACTACTATTACTCGTAACAATACTACTGCTACTAATCGCAGTAGTCGTAGTAGTAGTAGTAGTAGTAGTAGTAGTAGTAGTAGTAGTAGAATTATTATTATTAATAGTAGTAATCGTCGTCGTAGTAGTAGTAGTAGTAGTAGTAGTAGGAGTAGTAGCAGTAATAGCAGTAGTTGTAGCAGCAGTAGTAGTAGTAGTAGTAGTAGTAGCACCAGTCGTAGTAGTGATAGTGGTAGCAGCAACAGTAGTAGTAGTAGTAGTAGTACTACTACTACTGCTACTACTACTACTACTACTACTCCTACTACTCGTAACATACTACTGCTACTATCGCAGTAGTCGTAGTAGTAGTAGTAGTAGTAGAGTAGTAATAAGAATCATTATTATTAGTAGTAGTAATCGTAGTAGTAGTTAGTAGTAGTAGTGTAGTAGTTAGTAGTAGTAGTAGTAGGTAGTAGTAGTAGTAGCAGTAATAGCAGTAGTTGTAGTAGCAGTAGCAGTAGCAGTAGTAGTAGTAGTTAGTAGTAGTAGTAGTAGTAGTAGTAGTAGTAGTAGTAGTAGTAGTAGTAGTCGTAGTAATAGTAGTAGTAGTAGTAGTAGTAGTAGTAGTAGTAGTAGTAGCAGCAGTAGTAGTAGTAGTAGTAGTAGTAGTAGTCGTAGTAGTAGTAGTAGTAGTAGTAGTAGTAGTACCAGTCGTAGTAGTGATAGTGGTAGCAGCAACAGTAATTAGAAATTGTCCCTGAACGGTCCGGACTGACTGCGATCGGTGGTGCTTTCCCCCCCCCGCCCCTCCTTCGCGGCAGGCTCGCCGGCGATGCGTGCTACATCGCGGTGATTACGGGGCTCAAGAGAAAGACGCGCCTTCGTCCAACAACGGGGGCTCTGACTCAGAAGCCCCACCAATACGGGAGCGAAAAGGCCCGTGGAACACCACCCCGTCGGCTACCCCCTGGGAAGCACGCGTGCGATGCCTGCTTCAGCGCTGTGATGATGAGGCTCTGAAGGGAGACAGGTCTACACCCCCAAAGCGGCAATTCCATATGAGAAACATGACTTTGAGTGAGTGGCTAAGAGTTTGCGTGAGCCTGGGCATGCGTGACTCTCATCATGGATGAATCTGGCTGTGAGGGAGTCTGCGTATGGGTGGGTCTGGGTGTGAGTGGGTCTGAACATGTGTGCGTGAATGTATGAGTGGGCCCCAGCAGGAGTGAGTCTGATTGTGAGTCTGCCAGACTGGAATATGAGCGTGTCCGAGCGAGCGCGTCTGGATGCGATCGAGTCCAGATATGAACGAGCTTAGGTAACATTGTGTGTGTGTGTGTATGAATAGGTCTGGGGATGATCTGGTACCAATAACGGTTAATAGGCACGTGCGTCGGAATGCGAGTGAGTCTTACGAGTGAGGCTGAGTTGCAGAGGGCCTGCTCGTGTCTTGGTCTGGAAATCGATGAATCTGAGCACGGGTTGGGGAGGCGGCTGAGGAATATGCGGATGCATCACGCTAAACAGCATGAGCCCGTGCTGAGGAGATGGGGAGGCATCATCCAACGTCGGAGATCCCTGTCTGCGATCGTGCTAGCCCTTGACGGGCCAACAGGGGCTGCATCGCCAGACGCGGTCGCTTTCCCCTGTCCTCCTCGTGCCCGTCCCCCGCCCCTCCTCCACGCACCCCTGGCGTCCGCTCTTGCCACGCCCCGCAGAGCCAGAGGCCCTCCACTCTCCCTCGTTCTTCTCCCCGTCCGCCCTTCCGCCCTCGCGCCCTTCTTCCCCCCCTCCTGCCTCCCGCGTGCGGCCGCCGCCTGCGAGGTCGCTGATGCCGCTGGCGCCGCCCTTGTTCAGGTAGATCGCGCCGTCTTTGGCCACGGTGCCGCCCAGCGCACGGCGCTGCGTCCCCTCCTTTCGGGACGGGGGCGCCACCCCGCATCTCCCCTCCTGCCCCTCCAGCCGACCAGCCCCTGCTCTTCTCGAACTCCTTTTGCTACTGCTCCTCCTTCCACCTTCTCGCTCCTGCTCGCCGTCATGCTCCTCTATCCAAATGGATATCTCCTGCGCTCCCCTGCTTCAACGTCGTGACGTGTATCCCTGCCGCTCCCCTGCTCTTGTGGAAGCCATCCGAGACTTCTGCAATCCATTCAAGACAACCACTTCTGCGTCGGCTGGTGGCTTTCACATGTGCTACCTTTCAATGCTCAGCGACCCATGGTTTTGGATCAAGTGCGGCAGAAGTGTTTGCAGTCAAGGGGGCGGCCGGCTCTAATTCACCAGCAAGAGGCTAGCATTCTGGCCACGATGGTCCAAGAAGCTGGCGCCAAACGTACGCATACCGGCACAATATCATTGTATGAATCGTGGTTGCGACCGTTGCCGCCGCTTCACTGGCCTAGCAATGGGGGTCCTAACTTGCTCGTGGAAATACATGTACATAGAAATCTGTTCATATATGCATCTGTATGTATATATACATAAGTATACATGGTTATGTCTATGTGTATGTATATGTATGTATGCATACATACATACATATATATATGTATATATATACACATCCGCCATCCGCCAGCCCCCTTGCGGGGCCATCAGGCTGCGAGGCTTAGGTTTGCTGCTCCCTGCGCCAGCTCATATTTCCAGCTTCCAATGTTACAGTCTTGCTTTCTGCTTCTTGCTGTAAATTGTTACTGTCAGCGCGACGGGGGGGATCCGAAAACCAGCTCGGTTAGCGTCCCCGAATGGCATCCTCATAATTTCTGGGGGGCACTGGGACACGTACAAATACATGAGATTCGCGCTCCCGATGCAATAATCCGCCTTGAATTACTATGTGCTCGCGCCCCCGAGGCCAATCTCACTCGTGAATTACATTGTATTCGCGTCCCCGAAGCCACGATCCCCCGTAACATACATTGTGTTCACGCTCCTTAGGCCACGACCCCCGTAACTTACAGAACATTCTCGCCTCTGGGGCCACGATCCCTTGCAAATTATGCCGCAATCGCGCTCCCCGAGGCTACGATCCGTTGCAATTTTTGCCAACTTTGCGCCCCCGAGGCCACGATATCCCGTAAATTATACCACATTCGCGCTCCCGAGGCTACGATGCCGCGAAAATGGCGCCACATTCGCGCCCCAGAGGCCCAGAGTAGCTCCCAGGCCCCAAGAGGCCGTCAAGAGGCCCCAAGAGACCCCAGGAGGCGCCCAAGACGCGCTCAGGAGGCTTCTAAGAAGCCCAATAGATACCCCACGAGGCCCCTAAGAGGCGCCCAAACCGCCTCCAAGAGAGGCCCCCGAGAGGCTCCCCACGACACCCAACGCATATACAAGAGGCCTCTGACCCACAAGCTAGGCACGGTGGCGGGACGGGCCGAAGGCCACTAGGATCCGCCGCCCCCTGTCGATTCATCGCAGGGGTGCCTGGCATGCTGGACCCTCTCGGTTTTGGTTTTGGTTCTTTTTCCAAAGGAACTCTCCCAATGTGTTTCGGCCCGTCCCGCCGGGGTACCGGGAGGATTGCCCAGGAGCGTCAACTCCACGAAAAATCCTCCCTGAAACGGCCGTTTCGCTCGGGACATCCTCAGAAAATCGCGAAGATGGCCCAAGATGGCCTCCAAGTCCGCCCAAGAGGGTCCAGGACTGCCTCCAAGACAGCCCAAGAGAGTCCAAGACGCCCAAGACGGCCCAAGAGGCCCCCCAGAGGCCTCCCAGACGGCCCAAGAGGCCTCCAAGAGGTCCTCCAGGAGGGCCCGAAGAGGCCAAAATCATTGATTTTCCTGCGGTTTTTGAAGGATTTTGGAATTTGCTTCTTCTCGGCATTCCGACGGCTCAAGACGGCCCAAGAGGCCCCCAAGATCGCCCAAGAGGCCCCCAAGAGGGCCCCATGACGGCCTCCAAGATGGCCCCTAAGAGGGCCCCAAGACGACCCGAGAGGCCTCCAAGACGCCCAAGTTGGCCTCCAAGACGCCCAAGATGGCCTCCAAGACGGCCGCCCCAAGAGGGTCTCCCCTTGGCCCAGAAAGGCCCCCAAGACGGCTCCCGACGGCGCCAGACGTGCCAGGAACCCACCAAGATTGCCGAAGTTGGCTCGAAGCTGGCCCAAGACGGCCCAAGAGGCCCCCAAGAGGGCCTCCAGGAAGGCCTAGGTTTTTGACGGATTTTGACATTTCCGTTTTTTCGGCCTTCCGACGCCCCGAGACGGCCCAAGAGCCCCCAAAGATCGCCGAAAAATCGCCCAAGAGGCCTCCAAGACGGCCAAGATGACCTTCAAGATGCCCACGTGTTCCCCGAAGGCTTTCCAAACCGATTCGGGAAATACATGGTCCGATGGCTTGGCAGGTCTGGCCTCAACGTTCGGCCACATAGGCGCTTCCAAAAAGGCAGGGGGCGGCGGTGGTTCGCTGTAAGCGTCTTCGATCCGCCGCCCCCTTTTGATTTATCAAAAGGGTGCCTGGCGTGCTGGATGATATGGCTTTTGGTTTTGGCTCTTTTTCCAGAAGAACTCCCCTGGGGCTTCGGCCCGTCCCGCCAGGGTCCCGGGAGATTCCCGAAAATCCGTCCGTCACTGCCTCTGTTGCCCCAAGTTGGCCCAAGATGGTCCCCCAGACGGCCAAGATGGCCTCCAAGATCCCTCCAAGACAGCCAAGATGGTCTCAAAAACGTCTAAGATGGCCTCCAAGATGGTCTCAAAAACGTCTAAGATGGCTCCAAGATGCACCCAAGACGGCCCAAGATGGCCTCAAGATGGTCTACGACGGTCCAAAAGGCCCGCAAGAGGCCTCCAAGACGGCCCAAGAGCCCTCCAAAACGTCCTTCAGGAAGGCCCGACGAAGTCAAAATCATTGATTTTCCTGAGGTTTTTGAAGGATTCTGGCATTTGCGCCTCTTCGGCTTTCCGACGGCCCAAGACGGCCCAAGAGGCTCCCAAGATCGCCCAAGAGGCCTCCAAGATGGCCCCATGACGGCCCAAAACGCCCCCAAGACGGCCCCAAGAGAGCCCCAAGATGGGCCAAGAGGCCTCCAAGACGCCCAAGTTGGCCTCCAAGACGCCCAAGATGGCCTCCAAGACAACCCCGAAGTGTCCCAAGAGGGCCCCAGAAAAGGCCCCCAAGACGGCTCCCGACGGCGTCAGACGTGCCAGGAACCCACCAAGATTGACTCCAGGAAGGCCAGAAGAGGCCAAAAACATTGATTTTCCTTAGGTTTTGGACGGATTTTGATATTTGCTTCTCTTCGGCCTTCCGACGGCCCGAGACGGCCCAAGAGCCCCCAAAGATCGCCGAAAGATCGCCCAAGAGGCCTCCAAGATTGCCCCAGAACGGCCCAAGAGGGCCCCAAGAGGCCCCCAAGGCGGCACAGGAGGCCTTTAACACGCCCAAGATGGCCTCCAAGACGGCCCTGGAGCATTCCAAGAGGGCCCCAAGTCGGCCCATAGAGGCCCCCCAAACGGCTTCCGACGGCGTCAGACGGACCAGGAGCCCACCAAGACGGCCGAACATGGCCCTAAGATGGCCCAACGCGGCCCAAGAGGCCTCCAAGAGGGCCTCCAGGAAGGCCCGAAAAAGCCAAAATCATTGATTTGCCATTGGTTTTTGAAGGATTGTGGCATTTGCTTTTTTTCTGCCTCCCGGCGGCCCGAGACGGCCCCAAGAGGCCCCCAAGACGGCCCAAGAGGTCTCCAAGACGCTCAAGATGGCCTCCAAGACGTCCCAAGAGCCATCCAAGACGTCCTCCAAGAAGGCCCGAAAGGGTCAACATGGCATCCAGACGGCCAAGATGACCTTCAAGATGCCCACGTGTTCCCCGAAGGCTTTCCAAACCGATTCGGGGAACACATGGTCCGATAGCTTGGCAGGTCTGGCCTCGACGTTCGGCCACATAGGCGCTCCCAAAAAGGCAGGGGGCGGCGGTGATTCGCCGTAGGCGTCTTTGGGGCTTCGGCCCGTCCCGCCGGCCACCCGAAAGGCACCCGATTCTCCTAATTTTTCGTTCCGGATGGCCCCAGATGGCCTCCAAGATAGGATCGTGGCCCCATAAGGAGCTCCACCGAAGGCCCCAGTGGCAAAGTTCGCATGCGTCTCCCAGCCCGTTTTGGTACATCTCTCACGAGGATCGTCGCCACATAGGGAGCTCCACCGAAGGCCCCAGCGGCAAGGTTTGCATGCGCCCCCCCATAATGGCACACCCCTCACACGCTTCGTGGCTCTATAGGGAGCTCCACCGAAGGGCCTAGCGGCAGGGTTGCAGGGTTTGCATGCGTCCCCTCGCCCATTTCGGCACACCCCTCACACGCTTCGTGGCCCCACCAGGAGCTCCACCGAAGGGCCCAGTGGCAGGGTTCGCAATGCGATTCCCCGCCCATTTCGGCACACCACTCCCACGCTTCGTGGCCCCATAGGGAGCTCCACTGAAGGCCCCAGTGGTAGGGTTCGCATGCGTCCCCCCACCCATTTTGGCAAACCCCTCACACGGTTCGTGGCCCCATAGGGAGCTCCACCAAAGGCCCCAATGGCAAAGTTCGCATGCGTCCCCTCGCCCATTTCGGCACACCCCTCACACGGATCGTGGCCCCATAGGGAGCTCCACCGAAGGCCCCAGTGGCAAAGTTCGCATGGGCCCCCCCGCCCATTTCGGCACACTCCTCACGAGGATCGTGGCCCCAAAAGGAGCTCCACCGAAGGCCCCAGTGGCAAAGTTCGCATGCGCCCCCCCGCCCATTTCGGCACACCCTTCCCGAGCATCGTGGCCCCACAGGGAGCTCCACCGAAGGCCCCAGCGGCAAGGTTTGCATGCGTCCCCCCGCCCATTTCGGCAAACCTCTCCCGAGCATCGTGGCCCCATCGGTAGTTCCACCAAAGGTCCCAGCAGCAGGATTTGTATGCGTCCCCCCGCTGATTTCTGCAAACCCCTCACGAGGATCGTGGCCCCATAGGGAGCTCCACCGAAGGCCTCAGCGGCAGGGTTTGCAAGCGTCCCCCCGCCCACTTCGGCACACCCCTCACGAGGATCGCGGCCCCATGGGGGCTCCATCGAAGGCCCCAACGGCAGGGTTTGCATGCGTCCCCCTGCCCATTTCGGCCCCATAGGGGGTTCCACCGAGAGCGGTACCCACAACTCGGTACTCACAGCTGCGTATGGTTGGGTCCTTCGCCAGGATAATTGACCTCATCATCTTCCTTTTCCTCTTCTTCCCCTTCCTCGTTGTCGTGGTCGTGATCGTCGTCGTCGTCGTCGTCGTCGTCTTCGTCCTCCTCCTCCTCCTCCTCCTCCTCCTCCTCCTCCTCTTTCCCTCGCCACCACGCAGGCCCCAAGGATGGCCCGAAGAGGCCCTCCAAAGCCACCCCCTTGCTCCCAGAGATCTCTCTGTTCACCCTGGTTGCCCGCTTTGTTTCACTACATGCATCCCTTCGTCCATTTTCCCGTCGACTCTCATGGGCAAAATGTCAAAATGGGCTGGTCGGGATACTTTTTTGGTACGCGGCTCACAGGAGACGTCCAGCGAGCGGGCTTCACGGCTGGGGCACAGAGCGAGATAATTGGCCGCAGAGGCACGTAGGCCGCTGAGGCGAGTGCACATGCCAGCTGGTCGGGATACGCGAAGCGTGAAGAATATTGTTCTCAGACATGGGCAACCGATGCCGAGGAACTGTTTGTTGAATGTCTGAATCTCCCTTTATTCTGTTGGCCAATTTCCTTATTCGCTGTTCGATCGTGGAATCCAAATTACTGATGCGCTCGTGGACGGCTCCTGTTCTCGCAATGGTTCCGGAACTCAGCACGGATGGGTATTTCGCTCGCATGAATGGGGGATACGGTATGGAAATCGTGCGGGTTCAGGCGCCAGTCTGGGCGCCGTGTCTGCAGACGCCCCATGCAGCAGAATGTCGAACGACGTCGGTATAAATACGATGGTCGTGTGGAAACTGCTCTGTCTCCAGACTGCCAGGACTGCGATCGTTGGGCTTGCTTGGCGGTTGCCGCGCTGCTGCTCAGTCACGCGCATGTGTTCGGGTGGCGCGCAGCTCTGCGACAGAGCCTCCGATGGTTTGGATAAGTGCCCACGTGAAGGGAATGACGGCGTGAAGGGAATGACGGCGTGGGCCCTTCGGCAGAACGTGCGGCCGGCTTGCACCGCTCGCCAGGAGGAGGAGGAGGAGGGAGGAGGAGGAGGAGGAGGAGGAGGAGGAGGAGGAGGAGAGGAATAGAAGGAGGAGGAGGAGGAGGAGGAGGAGAGGAGGAGGAGGAGGAGGAGGAGGAGGAGGAAGGAGGAGGAGAGAGGAGGAGGAGGAGGAGGAGGAGGAGGAGGAGGAGGAGGAGGAGGAGGAGGAGGAGGAGGAGGAGGGAGGAGGAGGGAGGAGGGAGGAGGAGGAGGAGGAGGAGGAGGAGGAGGAGGAGGAGGAGGAGGAGGAGGAGGAATAGGGAGCACTGGATTTGGACAGCTCTGACTGCGAACGTTCTTTACCAAACTTACTGGGCGAAGCTCGTTCTGCAGATGGCGAGGGCGCTGTCTCGTGCAAGGTGGTCGTGTGTACACGTTGATGCCAGCATCTTCGCGCGCACTCTCGCACATGCTGCGCTGCTGATTTGGCCCGCTGCAGGGCCTGGTCCCCTCCTAACTCATCCCTTGGTCCTCGTCCTCCTCCCAATCCTCCTCCCCCCTGCTCCTCCCGAGTGCCGCAAATCAGGAGAGCTTGGTACGACTACGAGCGCGATTGCAACTATGGGTGGGCCCATGCACGCCGATCCTCCCGATCCTCTCCTCTGCCTCTTCCCTCTCCTCCTCTTCCTCCTCCTCCCCTTCCTCCTCCTCCTCCTCCTCCTCCTCCTCCTGCTCCTCCTCCTTCTCCTTCTCTTCCTCTTGACCTTCTCCTCTGCTCTCTCTCCTTCTCCTCCCTCTTCCCTCTCCTCCTCTTATTCCTCTCCTCCTCCTCCTCCTCCTCCTCCTCCTCCTCCTCCTCCTCCTCCTCCTCTTGCTCTCTGAAGGAGGGCCACCTGAGATCAAACGGCGGCTCTCCCGCTCGGCCCGCGTGCGCTGCAGCGCGGCTCTTCTGGACCCCCCTCGAGGTCCCTCTCGACTGGTTCTTCCAGGCGGCTTCGGCCGTGGCGCCGAGTGGCTGCCCCGTGAGGCCCCCGACAACAAAAACGCAGAGCGCCAGGGAGGGATGCCGGTGTCTCGCCTGGCCCTCCTCCGCTCCTCGGTCTCCTCCTCGTTTTTCTCCTCCTCCCCCCCCTTCCCCCTCCCCCTCCTCCTCCTCCTCCTCGTCGTCCTCCTCCTCCTCCTCCTTCTCCTCCTCTTTGTCCTCCTCGTCCTCCTCGTCCTCCTCGTCCTCCTCGTCCTCCTCGTCTCCTCGTCCTCCTCGTCCTCCTCCTCCTCCTGCTCCTCCTCCTCCTCCTCCTCCTCCCTCCTCCTCCTCCTCCTCCTCCTCCTCCTCCTCCTCCTCCTCCTCCTCCTCCTCCTCCTCCTCCTCCTCCTCCTCCTCCTCCTCCTCCTCCTCCTGCTCCTGCTCCTTCTTCTTCTCCTCTCCCTCCCGCTCCTCCTGCTCGTTCTCCCCCGATCCTGCCAGCACTGGCCTGGAGGCGACACGATCCGGTGGATTGTACCTGGGCGCATTCCGCCGGGCCCGCACGGCCAGCAGAGCTACCTCGATTCGGGAGCTGGCAAGGCGACGGGGTGTCGATCAGCACGGTCGTCTCGCCCAGGGCCGCTAGCCGTCCCACGAGAAGCAAGGACGACAGAAGGAGGAAAGAGGGAGGAGGAAGAGGAGGAAGGAATGAGTCATAGGCTAGAGGGATAACGACGGTGATAACAACGGGGATAGAGGGATGACGACGGTGATGGGGAGCCCCCCCACCCCATAAAGGGGTTCGTTGGCCAAGGGATTGGGATGGTCGGTGGCATTTGCCGATCGTGGCCCGACTAGGGCGAGCGCGGGCGTCCCAGATGATCAGATCACCTGTGCGATCCCACCTCTCAAACCTCCTCTGCTCCCTGCTGCTCCTCCTTCGCTTTCTTCCCGTGCTTCCCCTTGCTGCGAACCATGGACGCAGGTGGGGAGCTCCAGATTCATGGAGCTGGAGAGATTAGAAAGTATGGGTGAAGACACGTGGAAACGGAAGCGAAAGGACGCTACACTTGTATGCTATGCGGTGGTGTTGCCGATGCAGAGAGTAATCGTGGGCGTGTGTGGCGAGTTGTGTGTGTGTGTGTGTGTGTGTGTGTGTGTGCGTGCGTGTGTGTGTGTGTGTGTGTGTGTGTGTGTGTGTGTGTGTGTGTGTGTGTGTGTGTGTGTGTGTGTGTGTGTGTGTGTGTGCGCGCGCTTCTATACATATATATATATATATATGTGTGCGTGTGTGCGTGTGTGCGTGTGTGTGTGTGTGGTGTGTGTGTGTGTGTGTGTGTGTGTGTGTGTGTGCGTGCGCGGGGGTAGGCAACATATTCTGGCTTTGGTATCGCGCGGAAGGGGGATGAGCTAGCGGCCAACAGCAGCTGGGGGAGGGGGAGATGAGACTTGGAACCGCTGGGATCTCAAAGATGCAAAGCGTCTTCCGAACCAAACAGTGTTCACTCATGTCAGCACGTGGGCCCCAAACCGTTGCTCATCGCAGACTTCTGCGTAAATGCATGGAGATCGAGACGAGTCTAATTCATAGGAGGTCAGACAGCCACAGGAGATCAACCACGCGCGGGAGCATGTGCAACAGACAAAACTATTGGGACAAGAAACCATCGGGTTGCACACGAGGCTAAACTATAGAAGACCGTGTAACCACTGGAACACGTGCAACAGACAAAGGCAAGTGGGCGGGAACATGGGGCCCCACATGAAGCCATGCAATAGAAAACCACACAACTTCTGGAACACGTGCAACCGACAGGGCCAGTGGTGCGGGAAGCCATAAGGACTCATCGGAGTCCAAACCATAGGAGGCTACGTAGCCACCTGAGAACGTGCAACAGGCAAGGCCAGTTGGGCGGGAGGCCTCCATACGAGGCCAAACCATATGATGCCAATGAGCCACCATAATACGGGCCAACAGACCAAGGCTGATGGAAGAACTTAAGGGGCCCCAGCGAAACCACAGGCGGCCAAACCGCAGGAAACAAGAAGAACACACAGACCCACGGCCCGACCCCTGGTCACCAAGCCGGTAAGGTGGGATGCCCGGGCGAAGCCACAGGAGGTCAAGTCAGAATTGACCATAGGAGGTCACGCAATTACGGCCCAACGTAGGGACAGAAGGCCAGTTCTTCAGAAACCATGTGGGACTCGCAATGTGTAACACTGCCTGTCCGTTGCGGGTCGGTGCTCATGACAACAGGTGGAATATCTACACGCGTAACGTGCCACCCAACAAGCTGTGAGGTCTTGGAGCGAGGTGCTGGGGATGTATATGAAGGACAATGACCATTACCCCTCCTCCTCTCCTCCTCCTGCGTCCGTTTCTTCTTCTTTTTTTCTACCCCCCTTCCCCTTTTCCTTTCTCTCATGCTTCCTCTTCGTCGTGGTCCTCCTCCGTTCTCTCCCTGTATGCCAGAAAGCCATGCCGACTGGTGTCATGGCCCAGTGCGCAACAGCTGGCACCTCCGCTGACAGTGGATCTGTCCGCATGCTGAACTTTATTGAATGCCTGCGCCCCGAGAACAAGCTGCCTCCTGTGGGAAACCAGCCCCTTCTCCTCGAGAAAGCTCCATGACCCTACCTATACGACCATCCTTCGGGTGATAAGGAGGTTGTGTGGGGGGGGGGGAGGGGGGGGAACCAACATCTGACTCAATCGATCTCATTATCGATCTCACCCAACGGAATACCACGGGACACCACGGGACACTGGTCTATCTCACTATCGATCTCACTATCGATCTCACTCAGCGGGACATCACGCGACACCACGGGACACTGGTTTATCTCACAATCGATCTCCCTCAGCGGGACATCACGGGACACCACGGGCCACTACGGGACACCACGGGACACCGCGGAACACCTCTCGATCTCACTATCGGTCTCACTATCGATCTCACTATCGATCTCACTCAACGGGCACCATTTGACACCACGGGACAACACGGAACGCCTCGGGACACCACATCGGACTCACTATCGATCTCACTATCGATACACCACGGGACACCACGGGACACCTGTCGACCTCACTATCGATCTCACTATCGATCTCACTTTTTGGGACACCACGGGACACCTCGGGGCACCACATCGATCTCAGTATCGATCTCAATATCGATCTCACTATCGATCTCACTCAACGAAATCTCACTATCGATCTCACTATCGATCTCACTTTTTGGGACACCACGGGACACCTCGGGGCACCACATCGATTTCAGTATCGATCTCAATGATCTCACTATCGATCTCACTCAGCGGGACACCACGGGACACCGGTCGATCTCACTATCGATCTCACTTTTTGGGACACCACGGGACACCTCGGGGCACCACATCGATCTCAGTATCGATCTTAGTATCGATCTCACTATCGATCTCATTCAACGGGACACCACGGGACAGTGGTCTATCTCACTATAGATCTCACTATCGATCCCACTCAACGGGACATCACAGGACACCACGGGCCACCACGGGACACCACGGGACACCGCGGAACACCTCTCGATCTCACTATCGGTCTCACTATCGATCTCACTATCAATCTCACTCAACGGGACACCATTTGACACCACGGGACACCACGGGACACCTCGGGACACCTCGGGACACCACATCGGACTCACTGTCGATCTCACTCAACGGGACACCACGGGACACCTGTCGATCTCAATATCGATCTCACTATCGATCTCACATTTGGGGCACCAGGGGACACCTCGGGCACCACATCGATTTCAGTATCGATCTCAATATCGATCTCAGTATCGATCTCACTCAACGGGACACTACGGGACATCACGGGACACCTGTCGATCGATCTCACTATCGATCTCACTTTTTGGGACACCACGGGACACCTCGGGGGACCACATCGATCTCAGTATCGATCTCAGTATCGATCTCACTCAACGGGGCACCACGGGACACCACGGGACACCGGTCGATCTCACTATCGATCTCACTTTTTGGGACACCACGGGACACCTCGGGGCACCACATCGATTTCACTATCGATCTCACTATCGATCTCACTCAACGGGACACCACGGGACACCTGTCGATCTCACTATCGATCTCAGTATCGATCTCACTTTTTGGGACACCACGGGGCACCTTGGGGCACCACATCGATCTCAGTATTCATCTCAGTATCGATCTCACTATCGATCTCACTCAGCGGGACATCACGGGACACCTGTCGATCCCACTATCGATCTCACTATCGATCTCACTTTTTGGGACACCACGTCGATCTCAATATCGATCTCATTATCGATCTCACTATCGATCTCACTCAACGGGACACCACGGGACACCACGGGACACCTGTCGATATCACTATCGATCTCACTATCGATCTCACTTTTTGGGACACCACGTGACACCTCGGGGCACCACATCGATCTTAGTATCGATCTCAGAATCGATCTTACTGTCGATCTCACTCAACGGGACACCACGGGACACCACGGGACACCGGTCGATCTCACTATCGATCTCACTATCGATCTCACTTTTTGGGACACCGCGGGACACCTCGGGGCACCACATCGATCTCAGTATCGATCTCAATATCGATCTCATTCAACGGGACACCACGGGACACCACGGGACACCTGTCGACCTCACTATCGATCTCACTATCGATCTCACTTTTTGGGACACCACGGGACACCTCGGGGCACCACATCGATCTCAGTATCGATCTCAATATCGACTTCACTATTGATCTCACTCAACGGGACACCAGGAGACACCACGGGACACCTGTCGACCTCACTATCGATCTCACTATCGATCTCACTCAACGGGACACCACGGGACACCTCGGGGCACCAGATCGATTTCAGTATCGATCTCAATACCAATCTCACTATCGATCTCACTCAACGGGACACCACGGGACACCACGGGACACCGGTCGATCTCACTATCGATCGCACTTTTTGGGACATCACGGGACACCTCGGGGCACCACATCGATCTCAGTATCGATCTCACTCAACGGGACACCATGGGACACCTGGCGATCTCACTATGGATCTCACTATCGGTCTCACTTTTTGGGGCACCGCGGGACACCTCGGGGCACCACATCGATTTCAATATCGATCTCAGTATCGATCTCACTCAACGGGACACCACGGGACACCACGGGACACCAACGGGACACCGGCAGGACACCGCGCGGCACCGGCCGCCGGAAGAGAAACATTGGGTCCGGCCGTGGCCAGCCACAGGAGGATTTCGGGACACCCGCGGGACACCCGCGGGACACCGCGCGGCACCGGCCAGAGGAGTTACATTTGGTTCGGCCGCGGCCCAGCCACAGGAGCATTTCCTCTCGCCCGCCCACGCAGCTTCGCCTCGCCCGCACGCACGCACGGCACGCACGACGCGAACCCGAAACCGAAATCGATTTCCCGGTAGGGGGGGTCTCCGTTTCACGTCGGACTCACCCCCAAACCTCCGATCAATAACACGCTTTCAACACCAAATGCTTACTGTTCCCTCAGGCGGCATCGGACGAAGCGTAACTCTCGAACCCGTGAACGCGCTCCCACCCTGACGATCAGGGCAATACTCGTACGGGCCTCTCCTGGTCGGGAGGCCCGCCACTGCACGAGCAGGAGGATGGCGAGGAATGGGCGGAATGGGCGGTGAGGCGGGTCAGCAGCGGCAGGTGCACGCAGCCCGAGGAGAAGATTACTAGGCCAGGGGAGGAGCAGCAGCAGCAGCGGGAGCAACCACGGGGGGTCCCAGGTCGGCCTCGAACCTTCGAACCTCCTCCGTGCTGAGCTCTCTCGGATCTGCATAGTGCTCACTCTCCCTGGGATGCCTCAACGAGGATGACACATGACCATGTCACAACTACTGCAACAACAACAACCCCCCTCGGTGCATTTTGAAGAACTGGCCAGCACCGCCACGAGATCGGCCTGATCGCCGAGACTCTGGGACTCCCGCCCTTCAAGGGTACGCTTGGTCTCCTCCTCATCGTTCTCATCCTCTCTTCCTCCCCCCTCATCCTTCTCTTGCCTCTTGCTTAATCCTTCGGTCTGCCTCCTGCCTCCATCTCCTCCTCCTCCTCCTCCTCCTCCTCCTCTTCTCTCTTCTCTTCCTCTCTCCTATCTCACTCCTCCCCGCCCTTACCCCTCCGCTCCTCCTTCTCCTCCTCCTCTGATTCCTCCTCCTCTAATTCCTCCTCCATCCAAGCCCCCGATAAGCTGATCACCTGGCTCTGGGATGAACTTGGTCTTCCTGGTGAAGGTAGGGAGGTCACCGTCCTTGGCTGCGGCCGCCCTCCCCTGCCTGCTGGACCCAGCGCCGTCTTCGCTATGGTCGTCGCAGTCTCTGCTGCCCTCCATCCCTCTTACTTATTCGGCTACACGCAGGAGTGACCCTGGGTAAGAGTGACCTTTGGTGCGCGGCTTTTCGGGGGCCGCGGGGGGGCCCAAACACGAGCGCGCAAACAGCCACTATCGCATCGCGCTCAGTGATCGGGAGGGGCTCGCGCACCAAAGGTCACTCTGGCGAAGGGTCACTCCTTCGTGCAATCGATTTATGCATAAATCCCCTCTGTCGCACCACCAGGCGTGGCCGTAGGGCGGAGTGGGCGTTTCGCTTGAGACTTCCCTGCAATCTGCGATCCCGAAACTGAACAACTCCAACAGTATACAAGGGTGGAAGCGACTCGTCTTCAAATGTGGGTCTCGCCCTAATGCCGCGCGCACTCCTATTCAGAGTTCCCCGCAACAAGGATGGAGGCCAGTTCGCTTGCTTCAGACACCCTCGAACTATATAACCCAGAGTTCTAAACTGTCAAACAATTACACGGACGAAGGGTGCTTCATTTTTAATTTTGGACTCTCGCTGGATATTTCTGGCAAGTGTGCGACCATATATGTGATTTCGTGCCACACGTGTGCAGGTGGAGGGCACCTCGTTTTCAACACGGGGCTATTGCGGGACACAACCTGGGATTTTTTCATGACCCCTCTTTGCGTTTCTGTGAGCTGCAGGATCAACGCCATACCAAAGGCCGAACAACAGCCGAACGACAAATGCATGCTGTTGTGCCCTGGCCGCATTCCTCAGAATTTGCCAAGTTTGGACCCTGGTTTGGCCTAGTTTGGGGCCTGCTTCGCTTGTAACGCCTGGTTTGGCGTGGTTCAGGCCTGGTTTTGCCTTATATGTCGTCACGATTTCCATGTTTCGGTTTTATACTAGAAATGATGTTCTTTACGATTTGCCTGATTGGGCCGGGCTTGGACGTTGTCTGTAGAACCTGGGACGTCCCTGCGATTTGCCTGGTTTAGCTTGGTTTGGGCGCGGCTTCGCTCAAAACATCCTCATCGCTTGCTTGATGTTTGATGATTCGGGTTGGGCTTCGCGTGGTGCAAACTACGTGGCGTAAGCTATGTGGTGCAAACTAGGTGGTGCAAACCTACATTGCATCGCCCTCGCTAACATGTGACTAGCTGCAAGCCGGCGTCGGCCCGTGCACAGGCGTTTGGAGAAAACTCTCCCGAGGCTGATAAGGATGTAGTGTGTGGGTGCGTGTGTGTACATATATATATATATATGTATATTTATATATATACATATATATATATATACACATACTCTCCTCTTCCTATATTTTTATAAGCCCAGGCGGGGGGACCCCCCCCCAAAACTGGACTCCCAGGATCTGGGGCTTTGGGACCCTCCGGACGGGCCTCGAGGCGGCCCCCCGGGCCTCGCAGGGCGTTTTGCCAAGCCTTCCCAGCACACCTAGGGTGATCAGGGGGGTCCTCGGAGACGTCTCAGAGACCCCCAAGACAGCATAAGAGCGCTCCAAGAGTGACCGACGTGACCTCAAGATGGCCCAAGAGGCCTCCAGGACGGCCCCAAAGAGGCTCCAAGAGCACTCCCAAGAAGGCCCCGAGAGGCAAAAATCATTGATTTTCTGTTGATTTTTGGTGAATTGTGGGGTTCTCCTCTTTTCGGCTTCCCGACGCTCCAAGACGGTGGTCTTCTGGGCGTCCGAAGCCGCCTGGGAGGCTCCAAAATCGCTCCATAACCATCCGAAAGGGCTTCCAAGCAATCCAAGAAAGCCCCAAAACGGCACAACACGGGTCCAAGATAGCCCTCAGAGAGCCCCATGGCGGCCCAAGATGGCCCCTAGACACCCTCCGAAGCATTCCAAATCGTGACTCGGTCGTTCAGGGAGACCGCGGTTGGAGGCAGGGTGGCCCGAGGAAGCCCCCAGAGGCCCCCAGAATACGCCCAGGAGGCCTCCAGAAGGCCTTAAGAAAGCCTGAAACAACTTTTGTGAGGGCCCCAGAGGCTCTCCCAGGAGGAGCCTCCGCAAAAAAGAGCTGAGGAGGATGGGGAGAATGCGCAGGGTATGGCGAAAATGAAAAAAATAAGCATGGAGGACAGATAACGAATAACATTATCATAGCGGCGATGCCGGAACAGGCAACAAAGAATTATCGCTAAATTGTCGGCTTGACCTTCCTGCTATTCCGCCTGCATACCAAACTTCAAGGACCAAGGTGCATGGCGCGAAGCGCCACTGCAATCTTGTACACACATGTGTGTATATATATATACACACATATATATACACATATATATATGTATATATGTATATATACGTATCCGCGACCGCTTCACCGAAGCCCGGTTAACAACTGAAAGACAAATGCATGCTGTTGCGCCCTGGCCGCACTCCTCAAAACTTGCCGAGTTTGGACCGTGGTTTGGCCTGGTTTCGGGCCTGCTTCGCTTGAAACGCATGGTATGGTGTGGTTTAGGCCCGGCTTTGGCCATATACGTTTTCACGATTTCTCTGTTTTGGTTTTTGCCAAATCTTTTTTTTGGTGCTAAAAAAACGATTTGCCAGATTCGGCCTGGTTTGGACGCGGTTGCACACGAGACGTCCTTGCGATTTGCCTGGTTTGGCTTGGAATGGGCGCGCTTTCGCTCAAAACACCCTCATCAAGTGCTTGATGTCTGATGATTCGGGCTGGGCTTCGCGCGGTGCAGGCTGCGTGGCGTAAGCTGTGTGGTGCAGGCGAGGTGGTGCAAACCTACATCGCCTCGCCCTCACCAACTGAAGGGGAACTGGGACACACAAATAAATAGACACAAATAACCAGATTCCCTACATTTTCTCATATTTTCTGGATTTTTGTGCTCCCCCCCACTTCCGATATTTTCCCATATTTTCCTGGGGATCGACGATTCATAGTGTCTGTGTTTTTTATCCTCCTGACCAACATGCGACCGGCTGCCAGCCAGCGCTGGCCCGCGGACCCGGAAAGGACAACTCGTAGAGACCGATGAGGAAGCGGCTCGAGGCGGGAGGCTGCATTGCAACGTCGTTGACGCATGCTGAGTTTCGTCTGGTCGTCGTCCTCATGCTCTTCCTCCTCCTCCTCCTTCTCCTCCCCTTCCCCCTCCCCTTCCCCCTCCCCTCGCCTCATCATCCCTCATCATTCTCCTCGGCTTTTTTTCTACTCCCCTTTACTCTGGTCGTGATCTGCTTCTCATCAAACTCCCTTCTTCTATCCCTCCTCCTCCCTTTTTCCTCCTCCCCCTCCTCCTCCTCCTCCTCCTCCTCCTCCTCCTCCTCCTACTTCTCCTCCCTCTCCCCTCCTGCCCCTGCTGCCACGCTCGGAGGGAGAGAGAGAGAGAGAGAGAGAGGGGGAGGACATGTTCTTTTTGCCGTCGCTGCAAACGCTCCATCGATGTACGCTGGACAATCGAAGTTCGCTGGACGCAATAGTGTCGTCGTCGGAGGAGGAGGAGTAGAAGGGGCAGGAAGAGAGGGAAAGGGAAGGAAGTGTGAACATTGAAGTGCAGCGGACAGGGGCGAGCATAACGAGATAACCGATGCCAGCATTTCTATCAAGCCTACTTCGTCAACGGAGAGAGAGAGAGAGAGAGAGAAGATCGAGAGGAGCGGAACGGGCAACGATGACTCGTGGAGCTTGTTGGCTGTGAGTGGGTCCTCTCGCGTCGTCGCCTTTTTTCTCGCTTGAAAAACTTTGCTCGTGCGCGACCTCTGGTCGCATTCCTGACCCGGGGCGGAAGGCCCCGTCGTGCGCGGGCACGGGGGGGGAGGGCACCGGGAAGGGCACGGGACGGCCTGCCGGTGTCTGCACTTCCGTCCACCTCCTCCCTCTCTCGGGGGCGCGCAAGCATGGCCTCGCGATCCATGGACAGACGAGGGCGTTCCACGACTCGCAAAGTAACTACTCGCAAATGGCCTGGATCTGCCGCGGGGGATCTAAGACAAACTGCATCAAACCGACATGTGCTTTTCGGACGTTTGCGAGTAGGCGCTTGGCGAGTAGTGGAACGCGCTCGGTGAATGGAGCTGGCGCGCGGTCGCCAAAGGCCATGGATCGGGAGAGGTGCCCCCCCCCAAGCTGCGGCTGGTGAGCGCCTCGTTCGGCGCCCGAGATCCGCGATCTCCCATGGAGGCGGCACCCGTCGCTAATCCACGCCCCTTTGATCCACGTTTGCGATCGCCTGATTCTCCACCTTCTCACCTGGGCTGTCGCGTCCATTCGATGCGGCGCTCCTCCCCGCTAACGCTGGCATGCCTGGAGTTTCCGCGGGGGGCCGAGACCAAACCAGGCCGGGCCTCCTTGCTGCGGCCGTCCATCTTCTTTGGCGCTGCTGGGCTCGATAACAACGGTGAGACGGGCACCATGGAAGCGGAGCCCCCCGTTAGGTCTGGCAGTGCACAGCTGCAGCCTTACCAACCCTCGCGTCCTCGATGTTCACGAACACTGCCTTGTCGTCCACGGATGTGTTCTTGTGAGAGCCGAGGAGATACTCTGGTGCACCTGGAGGGGACAGGTGGGAGTCCGTACCGCCCCCATGAAAACGTGCTCATTTCTGAAGGTGCTCGCCTCGGACCAGCTCCCACGGGGGGTACACACATGCCTGAATATAATGGTCACAATCGGGAAGGTGGCTGGCGCCGTGGCGAGATCACCGCTCTTTTTCAATCACCGATGCTGCTGACGCTGAGACGACAACGCCGTGTGGCTGGAATGCATTGCCCGACTGCAGATTTCACGCCCATCCCGCGTGGGCCAGTCAGGGTGGCACCAATTTTCGTGTGAGGTCAAGTATGCATGCCAGCTTAGGGGGGTTGTAATGCTTGAAGGGTATGAGCAAAGTGATTGGGAGCGAAGCGGTATATGCTATCAACATGCTGATGTATTGTTCATGAACCTGGCGCGACCCTACATATTACTTTCGGTTGCATGTTATATGACTTTAGTTTACATGGTATGCGTCGGTAAATCAATACAACTAGAGGGAACGCGGCGCAACACATAAGTCATACCCACGTCCATAATCATGGCTTGGACTGTCTTGGCATAATATAGCGTAGCACACGATACCATAATATAGCATCCCATGACGTAAACTTGCATACTGTAACATGTCGCAACACTGGTGTAGTTGCGTAGATTCGCACCAGGAGCGAACATGTTAACATGATGGAATGCGTGATGAAGAAGAGCAGGGTGACATGTGGCACGGTCTGAGGGGTGTGCCGAAATGGGGGCGGCGTCGCCATGTGAACGTCCTCACCTCACTGGGTGGCGCTCCACGTGGGGTCACGACCCGCGTGAGGGGTGTGCCGAAATGGACGCGGCGCCGCCGTGCGAACACCATCACTGGGGCCGTAGAAGGAGCTCCGTATTGGGGCAAGAAGCGTGTGATAGGTGTGCAGAACTGGGCGGGGGAGAAGCGGAGGCGGAGGGGGAGAAGATGAGGAATTGGGGGAGGATGTGAGGAGACGCGCGGCGCTGCGGATTCGAAGCGAAGACCCAACAACACAGGAGGGCTGGGAACAAACTTCGGTTGTGATATATTTTGGCTGTCTGGGGCAACCGTTGGGGTCTCCTTTGAGGCATGCTGTGATATCCTCGGGACTGTTCAGGAATTATCTTGGCGTGTCTTTGGCCCATCCTGGGCCGTTTGAGCGACCTGTGGGAGTCCTGCTTAAACATTTTGGAAAACTCTGGAGGCCGAAATGACCCCCCAACGAACCCGAAAGGGGTCTGAGACCACAGCGTGGAATTTGGGTTACTGGGGGGTGCGAGAATTTGGATCGAATGGTCAGCCCCTGGGCCCAAGGGCCCAGTCACCGGATCTGTTATACACAGCACGTCGTAGCGCTAGCATGTCATACCGCTAACATAGCACATCATGAACATGTCGCGACGCAGTCTGGCACCGCATTGCATTGGCACGCTGCAGCATGACAAACACACCTTGCACCAGACGCGCATAATCTGCCATTGTGCCATGCGCGCGTTGGGGCGTTACAGTGCTTTTCTGCTGTCTGGTAAGAAGTTCTGATAATTTCTAAGGCAGTCCCCATCCTCTCGCCGCGCGCGCCCTCCGAACAGCGCCCACCTTCTTCGGAGCAGATTTTTGATAATTTGGCAAGTTTTTTCCCAGAGAGCCCCGCCCCATCGATGGTGGCTGAAACAGCGAAGCCCAACGAACACATCAAATGTCAGCTAGCGTGGACCCCAAACAGTGTGTTTCTAGCAACATGCGCTGTGTACTATGCGTTCTGCAAATGTGTGTGGTGCTATCTATGCTGTGCAATCTATGTTTTGCAATCCGTGTGGTGCAACCAATGTTGTATTTTTTCGGTTGTGCAATCTCTGTGGTTGCCCAACATATGATGTGCAATCTCTGAGGTCCCACTCTATGCCGTGCAACCTTGTCGTGCAAAATGTATTGTGCAATTAACTCGCCTGCTCCGCGCGTGACCACCTCCCATGATCGTGCAAACATCCCACCCACCCACCCGCAACTTGGCTGCAAAATCCATGCCACAGCGATTGCAATGGCCTCTTGGTCTAGCGTTCAGCCTCACTCATACCCAGACCCACTCACACTCAGACTTACTATCACTCAGACTCATGCGCAATCAGACACGCTCGTATTCACTCCTACTCAGACTCATTTGCGCTCAGACTAGCTCACACTCAGAATCACTCGCAAACTGAGGATGTTTAAACACTTTTACTGTTTCTAATACCCCGGAAAAGGAACCGCCACGGGTGGTTACACGGCCCCGTTCGCGGCCAGATTTTCGGGACGTCTCAGGCGGTTTGCCTGTTCCGTGTCTCGGACCTGTCTGCTTTCAGAACAGATTGTGGGGATGCCTCAGCCTGGTCACTGGCTTCAACACCCCAAGGTTGGTGACTTGGACTTGTTTGCTTCTAGGGCAGAATGTGGGGATGTCTCAACGGGTTTCGCTGGTTGCAAGGGTTTGCCTGCCTGCTGGCTTGGACTTGTTCTCTGTCAGGGCATATTATGAGGATGTCTCAGCCCATTCGCTGGTTTCAGCACCCCAAGGTTGATGACTTGGACTTGCTTGTTGCAGAACAGGTTGTGGGGATGTCTCAGCCGATTCGCTGGTCTCAGCACCCGAACTGGGGAGCCGCCAAGGATGGCTGCACGGCCCAACTCGTTGCTAGACCGTGGGGATGTTTCAAGCGGTTTGTATGTTGGATGGCTTCGGCTTGTTTCTTCCAGGCCCAAGCGACTTGCTTGTCTCAGCACCTCAACGGAGAGGCGCCAACGGTTGCACGACCCCGCTCACGGCCAGATTGTGGGGAAATGTCAAGCCGTTTGCGTATTTGGTGGCTTGGACGTGCTTGCTGTCAGAGCATATCGCAGGGATGCCTCATCTGGTTCGCTGGTTTTAACACCCAAGGGGGAAGCCGCCAAGGGTGGTTGCACGGCCCCGCTCGCGCGCAGATTCTGGGGATGCCTCCAGGGGGTTGCCTGTTTGGTGGCTCGGACTTGTCTGCCCCCGGAGCAGGTTGTGGAGATGTCTCGGGCGATCTGCTCCTTGGTTGCACAGGCTTCCTGTCCTTCACAACAGATTGTGCAGATGTTTCACATGGCCGATGCTTTCAAAGCAGATGGCGAGGACGTCTCATCCGATTCGCTGGTTTCAGCACCCCAGGGGGGGGCCACCTGGGAGCAGATTGTGAGGATGTCTCGAGCGAGGCGCTTGTCTTCAGACTCCTTTTCATACAGAGCCCCATGATCACCTCGATGTCGGGAAACGGACGGCCGCCAGGGAGATACAGGGAGGACGGAGAAGGACGCAGGAGGAACGCGGGAGGGAGAGGGGAGAGGGAGGAAGAGAGCGGATGGGCTACGGCGAAGAGGACGAGGAAGGAGCGGGAAGGGAGCCGCCAGGAAGGGGGGCATCCGCCAGGGAGGAGGGGGGAGGACGGAGGAGGGAGGACGAGGAGGAGGAAGGATGACGACGCAGGGGGAGGGAGAAAGACGGCCGCCAGAGAGGATGAGAGATGACGGAGGTGGGGCCGGGAGTGCGTGCATTCACTTGGTAAGCGTGCTGATGCTATGCTGTCCTCCAAACCGATGGGAGGATGAGGCGAGAAGCACAGCGGCAGAAGGATGAGGATGAGGATGGGTAGGTCTTGGAGGAGAAAGAAGGGATGGGGGGACTAGGAGAAGGGGGGCGTGAGGAGGTGAGGCGGTGAGGGGGAGCAGAGAGAAGAGACATGGTTTTCCGCCCTCCTCCCCTTCCGCCTCCTCCTTTATTCCCTTTCCTCGCTCTCCGCATTCTTTCCCTCCTTTCGGCTCCGTCCCCCCTCCGTCGTCGCTTCCACGTCCTTCCTGTTCCCTTCATCCTCCCTCCCTCCTTCCTCCATCGTCCCTTCTCCCTCCTCCCTCGCCACTTCTCGTTCTCTTCCCTCCTCCTCCTGCCTCATCCCTCTCATCTCCTCACACCTCCCTCCTCTTCCTCCCCTCCCTTCTTGCTTTTCCTGCCTCCTCCTTCGTCCTTCTCCTCCTGCTGCATGTCTTCTTTTGGAAGAAGACGGGCAAGTGCAGAAACGAGCAGCCATTCGGCGCCGAAATCGTTCTGCCCGCACCGGTCCATGGCGACCCACCACCGCAGGGCGTAGGGGAAATCGATAGGGCCGTTCTGATTATCCTTGGGGGCGAGGGGGGGATGCTGATGATGATGCTGATGATGATGCTGCTGATGATGATGAAGATGCTGCTGATGATGATGATGATGATGAGGAGGAGGAGGAGGAGGAGGAGGAGGAGGGAGGTGAGGAGGGGGAGGAGAAGGAGGAGGAGGAGGAGGAGGAAGAGGAGGAGGAGGAGGGAAGAGGGGGATGAGTGGGAGGAGGACAACGGAGGAGAGGCAGAGGAGGGTCAGGATCAGGGAGGAGAGGGAATGGGCGGAGGAGGGGAGAAGATGGAGGAGAAGCAGAAGGGATTGAGGTCACGAAAGGGGATGGGGCGACGATTGTCAATTGACATTCATCGTTCCCGATGCCTCATGCTGCTTGTGCCGTTTTGCCTCGGCAAATTCAAAACGCCCGAGATTATAATGAACCGAATCTTGGATCTACCGCTCCAACGGGAACACCACTGCGCGATATTGCTTCCCGTGTTCCACCGTGCACCCCAAACACTTAGCTATTTCCACGTCTGCGCTGCAAGGCAAAGCAATGCAAAGCATGGCAAACCGATCCGAACCAATACTAACAAGTCAAACCAGTGTAAACTGACGCAAGCATCCTGCGCGAGAGCGCACAACCTATGGTGCAACTCATGGGCGTAAACATTGGTCACATGGAGCTCCTGTGCGATAGCGCGCAACCTCTGGCGCAACCGATGGGCGCGAATGACGCCAATCTAAAGAGATTCCTGGACGAGAGCGCGTGTCTATGGTACAACGCATGGGCGCAACCTACGGCTCCCAACGTTCCTGGGCGAGCATACCACTTCCGTAGAAGTCAGAACACGTCAATACAATCGCTTCTTTGGGTATACTACATCACCAAATCTGTGGTGATTTGATCCGCTCCGAGGTCTACTGGACTTCGAAGTGTGCCAGACTTGGGACTCACCTTCCAAAAGATGATTCCAGCGCGTGAGCCCGACAGACGGCTTTCGTTCTCTGATCGCAACAATCTCGCACACATGCAGATGATGGTACGGACAAAGAAGCACCAAACAATCCCTGGCAAACCTGCAACAGCCGAGTCAACACGCTAAACCTTGGCCACTGCAGAAACACGCAGATGTTGCTGCTGCGCCCGACAAGGTAGCACGGCTGACCTGCGAACGTGACCGAAATTCGTGCCCACACGACTGGTGGCGCTAACTGGGTCTCGAACGTGCCCCACACACTTGCGAAATATTGAGTGATATGTTGAGTTTTCTGTAAATCACAGCGTGCACTTGAACGCCACATAAGACACGAATGGAAGATGACGAAAAGGAGCAGGATGAGGACGAGGAAGCGAAGAAGGAATCGATACTGAAGACCAACGCGCCTGACAAGTGCGTGCACCAAGTGTTGAACCCCATGAGTGTGGAACCCCATACATGCGGAACACAATGTGTGAGGAATCCCATGTACGTGGGTGCCAGGGTGTGTGGAAACCCATGTTTGCGGAACCCACACGGCCATGGGACTGGAATAGGGATCCGCACCGCATCAAGCAATAAAAATCCAAGAAGCCACCTGAACGTGCAAAACACAGGGCCTGTGAAGCGGGGCGCCAAGGGGACCCCAAGGAAGTCAATCAGTCGGGACCCAAGCAAGCATCCACCAGACAGTGCGATAAAGCCCACAGGAGCCCGAGAAAGGACGGAAGAGGAGGAAGACGACGAAGACGAGAAGAGAACCCCCGACACGACGCAGAAGAGAGTGTCACACGTTACTCCTGTGAGAACCCTCGATGCTCGCCGCTCGAGTTGCTGGGCTGGCACGGTGGCGGGACTTGCCACACGTACCTGGATAGGGATCCTCAGGTCCTCAGGAAACCAAGCCATCGGGATCAACGCAGCCACCGGACAAAGTGCGGCAGACACGGCCAGTCGAGCGGCAAGCCATAGGGGTCCATAGGAAGTCAAGCCTTTGGGATCCAAGGAGCCGTCGGACAAAGTGCAAGCAGACAAACCTGGCGGTACGAGAGATCCACACAGCCGCCGGCCGAAGTGCAGCAGACAGCTCCAGGGAGGTTGGAAGGCACCGGATCCTCAGGAAACCGAGGCATGCAGAGCTCCGAGCAGCCGTCGGAAGAAGTGGGACAGACAGTGCCAGCGTTCCCGGAGCACAGATCCGCCGACCCTGCGGGCGTGTGCGAGGGGCCTTGTCCCTTCGAGCCGTCCTCTTCGTCCCTCGTGAGCCGTCGCCTCTATGCCAGCTCCTCTCTCCCTGCGGGCCCCCCGCTTCCCTGAGCGCGTCGCCGCTCCTGGGCCCCCTCCCCCCGAGCGCGCCAGCCAGAGCGAGATCGACGAGCGTCGTGATCCGATCGAAGGGCAGCCCCCTCCCTTGGATTCCTCGATGCCCTCCCCTGGCGGGGGGGGGGGGTCGAGGGCCCGGGGAGGAGATGCGCCGCGGCCCCGGCCGGGGGTCGCCACCCAGATGCGCATCCCTTCCGGGGGGTCCTGGGTCCCCAAAAAAGTCCCAGGGCCCCGCATCGCCGAACGAGCTGTCCAAGACGCCTTCGCGGCCTCCTGACGGCCCCAAGAGGCCTCCTGAGGGCTCCGAGAGGCCTGCAAAACGCCCCAAGAGGCCTCCAGGAGCACTCCCAAGAAGGCCCCCAGAAGCAAAACCCCAAATACATTAACTGCCCTTAGGTTTTGAAAGATTTGGGCTTTCTCGCCCCGACGCTCCAAGGCGGCCCCAGAGGCCTCCAAGATCGCTCCGAGACGGCCCAAAGTCCTCCAAGGCCCCAAACCGGCCCGAGACGCCTCCAAGACAGGCCAAGAGGCACCCAAGACGGCTCCAAGAGGGTGCCCAGACAGGGGATCCGAACGGACATCTCCAGCCCTCGCCCCCGAGAAGCTCTCAGGAGGCCCCAAAAGGCGTCGAAAACGCCCCCGAAGAGACCCCGACAAACATCCCCTCCACCCCCTGCTCCTGACCCTCCTCCTCCTCCTCCTCCTCCTCCTCTTCCTCCGCCTCGTCTTCCTGGTCCTCCACCTGCTCATTGCCCTTCTCGACCTCCTTCTGCTCCAACTCCCCCTCCTCCTCCTCCTCCTCCTCCTCCTCCTCCTCCTCCTCCTCCGTATGCTCTTCCTCATCCTCCCCCTCCTGCTCCACGTCCTCCTCCTCCTCCTCCTCCTCCTCCTCCTCCTGTTCCTCCTGCTTTCCTCCTGTTCCTCACCCTTTCACTCCTCCTCATTCCCATCCTTCGCATCCTCCTCCTCATCATCCTCATCTTCCTGATCATCCTCCTCCTCATGCTCCCCACCCCTCCTTCGTGTGCCCTTCTTCCAGCCCTCCGCAACCTTACCTCGACCTCGTCCTTCCCATCCTCCTCCTCTTCCTGCCCCTCCTCCTCCCCCTCCTCCGCGTCCTCCTTCTTCTTCCACTCCTCCGACTCCCATTCTCTTCGTCCTCCTACTGCTCCTTCATCCCCCGTCCTTCCCCTGCCCCTGCTCCCCCTCCTCATCCTCCTCCGCATCCTCCTCCTCCCCCTCCTGCTGCTCCACCGCGTCCTCCGCCTCCTCCTCCTGCTCCTGCTCCTACTCCCCCTCCTCCTCCTCGTCGTCCTCGTCGTCGTCGTCTTCAGGGTCGGCGGCGCCGGCCGTACGGCCTTTACAAACAATGGGGCCCCTCAGTGCAAGCACTTTTTGGTGAAGATCGGTAGCAGAGCGGTCGCCCAGCACTGGTCGCTCAAATGGGACCATCTACAGGAGGTGCTGGTACGCCTGGGCGCGGAGGCGCAACTGCTCAAAGGACCCCTGGCAGGGCAAGGGCGAGCATGACCATGCTGTGGACGACCGAAAGCCTCCAGCGGCACCGCCTCTGGGGCCGCTGCTCAGGTCGCGCGACCTGCCCCAACCAGACGAAGATGCCTGCATCTTCGCTTCCGCCATCTTGTTGGGGGGCCCTGCACGCTGATCGCAGCACGCCGGGTGTATATGGCGGGTGGTATCAGGAACCAGAGCGCAGCGTGGACGGTGGGCTCATGAGATGGGGCAACAATGTGGCAGCATCAATGAACGAAACTACAAGATGTTCTGGCGTCGGCTGAAGGTCTTCGAGCGGCGATGTCGCTTGATATTCCAGCTCGCAATTACGGACGGCACCTAACTGATCTTTTTGTGGCTACAGGAGACTCAATGATACCGCGCTGATATTATCGACCTGGACGAGATGGAGAGCGGAAATGGGCTTGGTACCATACGGAAGCCTCTGCACTCCAGCAATCACCGCGAGGAAGGAGCTGCTGCAGCGGTGCGAACAACTTTTCAGCAACTTCGAGCGCGATCGGAGGGCCAAACTACTGTACTTCACTCGTCACCGCAATGAGCTGGAACAACTGCATTAAGTGGGCATCGAGGTGCCAGATCAGCTCGAAGGGTGGTACCCGCTGTCGAGGAGTGCCATCCCAACGTGGACCATCGTCAACGGCAAGATGCACAGCCATTGACAGTCGACGAATCAACAAAAAAGCGCCCTCGTTGAAGATCACCATCGGCCTTGATTTGAAGCCCGGCCCGAAGCATATCAGCAGAGCGATGCCCGGCAACGGCGCGGATGGCGGAACACTGCATGATATGAGCTGGACTGAGTTGGCCAAGGAAAACTTACGATATGCCCGAGAAATGCACAGACCAACCATATTGCGAGAATGGGTTGCGATACTCCCGTGGCTGGATGGCGGGTGCCCGAAGGAGGAAACCTACTATAGCCGCGAGGGAGAATATTACGCTGGCGAAATCCCGGATGGCCTGAATGATAAGCTACAAGTGCGACAAAACATACTTCGGCTGCGTCAGGGTCCGCACGAAGATGTGCGACTTGGCCACCTCTCGCAATCTGTATCCCATCATGGCCGTGACCCTCGATGCCGACGGAGTGCGAGTCGGCGGCGGACGACGAACAGAAGAAAGAGAACTTTGCCAACATATTTATGCGCTTGAAACAGCCTGCTGTCAGCGCTGCACACAACCGCGGGCCAACGATGCAGATGTCGTGCTGACAGGTCGGACCGTCACTCGAGCCAACGAGGTCCTGCGGGGCAGGGGTGCGTGGGGAAAAAAGACGTGGAGAACCACCGCAACGTCCACATGAATCGATCTGCTGGAGAGACGTCCTCGGACTGTGAGGGCACGGCCGC